GCCGAGCCCCAGTTCTTACCAATGGCATTTTATTGAGGCCACCGAAGGGCATGATGCCACAGGGATGGCAGTGGGAGGGGTGACAAGGACCAGTTGCAGCGCTTTATTGGCTGAGATTGTTGGAGTGGGAGGATGTGCCCATCTCGGCTTCGCAAGTTCCCCTGGATCTTACCCTCAAAAGGACAGACCGAAACGGACAGAAGAAACAGTTCCATAAAGTTCAAGTGCTGTGGGAAGCTTGCAGAATCCAAACCAGCCGTGGTTAGAGTGGTTTGATTTATTTTCATTCAGGCGGATACCAACTCTCTATCATGCATTATGTACAGACAGGCAGACGCCACACCAACTGATTGAAAAGCTCTACTGACTTCAGTCTCACAACACTTGCATCAGTGTGAATGCATTGATTATAGAAGGGGATGTGTGCAATAGCCCCTCTCCATGGGGTAGGGTTGCCAACTCTCCCAGTTTTGCCGTGAGTCTCCCAGAATCGGGCTCTATCTCCCAGAGGCTACTGAAGCCAGATTTCAGGCCGCTAAAAGTCCGGCAGCACAGCGGGGCTAAGGCAGGCTCCTAGCCCTGTGCCACTCCCAGAAGCGGCCAGCATGTCCCTGCGGTCCCGGAGGGGGGAGGGGAAGGGAGTCTCTGTGTGCTGCCTCCGCCCCCAGCACCGACTCCACAGCTCCCATTGGTCAGGAACTGTGGCCAATGGGAGCTGCAGGGGTGGTGCCTGCAGGGGCAATGTGCAGAGCCCCCTGCCCCCACCCCCCCAGGGGCCGCAGGGATGTGCCGGCCGTTTCCAGGAGCAGTGCAGGGCCAGGGCAGGCAAGGAGCCTGCCTTAGCTCTGCTGTGCCACCAACTGGGAGCCAGCCAAGGTAAGCACTGCCTGGCCAGAGCCCGCACCCCTCACCCCCTCCTGCCCCAGCCCTGACCCCCCTCCTGCACCCAACTCCTTCCCAGAGCCCACACCTCACCCCCTCCTGCACCCCAACTCCCTGCCCCAGCATTGACCCCCCCTCCTGCACCTTGAATCCCTCATTCCTAGGCCCACCCTGGAACCCACACCCCCAGCCTCAGCCCGGTGAAAGTGAGTGAGGGTGGGGGAGCGCAAGCGACAGAGGGAGGGAGAATGGAGTGATCAGGGCGAGGCCTCAGGGCAGGGCTGTTTGGGTTTGTGTGATGAGACAGTTGGCAACCCTACTATGGGGACATGTCTGGATACTTCCACGGGGGAAGGACGTCCCAAGCCCTGAACCAGGAATCTGGGAGGGGGGTGGCTGATGAGACAACTCCCCAAGGCATTTTGTGACAGCAGGGAAGCAGCGTGGAGGTGACAGGGTAGGGTGCGGTGTAGGAGAACGGAATGGCACCAGAACTCTGCTTTGCCGTGAATCGAACGCAGAAAAAAGCCAGGTGGCGGAGCTGGGCACAGATTGCAGATGACCTCAGCAAGGGCAGCCAAGCCTGGCCCACCAGCTTTTCTATTTCAGAAAGATTAGTGGCAGCTTCCATCAAAAGGCAACTACTGTTAAACAGGGCCGCTTTGCACCCACTCTATGGCGGTTTGCTGGGGCTCACCCACTGAGGCACCAAAACCTCCCGTGCCGAATACTCCCAGACTCCGGATCTAAGTTTTGCAAGTGGACCCAACCAAACCACAGGATTGGCATTCAGGCTGTTTGGGAATCCGGAGCCAAAGTTTGTAGCACACCCCCCTCTCTGCTTGTTTGTGAATATACAGATCAAATGGCTTTGCCTCTCTCCTGAAACAAGATTGCCTCTCGCCCCTGTTCCAAAACCAAGGTTGGGCAGTTGGTTACAAGCACAACAGTAAGAGGAGCCAGGCCTGCTTCCCAGCTCTCTCAGAACTGTTTGAGCATTGGCCTGCTAAACCCAGGGTTGTGAGTTCAATCCTTGAGGGGGGCCATTTAGGGAACTGGGGTAAAAATCTGTCTGGGGATTGGTCCTGCTTTGAGCAGGGGGTTGGACTAGGTGACCTCCTGAGGTCCCTTCCAACCCTGATATTCTATGAACTGAAAAGCGTTAACTTACAGTCTTAGGAGGGAAGCTACCGTTGGAGGGAGATGGATGTTGGCAACTTTAAAACTCAAGGTTGGCCAACCAAATATCCAAGGCAGGCTTAGCAGCGGGGCTCTGGTTCTTCAGGACACTGGCCTGTAAACTAGCGCCCAGTGTTTTAGGCTCTCTATTCAGGCAGGGTGTGTACAGTTAAAAGAGGAGGGATTATTTAGAGCTGAAGCAATGCACAGGAAACCCACATGCAAGGGAATGGTGCTAGGGCATGAGAACCAAGAAGTGAAACTGACCAATATAGTTTCACCGCTCAAGCTGGCCTGCAAAAAGGAAGCAGCGTAAATGGAGAAAAGGCTTTGGTGGTTGTTTTTAAATCTCCCTTTTTAGTTTTTTTTTTTTTTAAATAAACACCTCATTAGTCACAGATAGGGCTTTTCTGCAAATCATTTTCATCTTGATACTGTTGTCACTTAAATTCACATCTAGCCCGATCACTTTGTTTAGCGGTTCTTTGCTCAACCACAATTCCTTGCTCTCAAATGTAACATTTTGCTTGTACGGGTGGGATCTTGTTCGAGATCCTTGCACCATTTGGGTTTTTGGAAGACTGCTTTGCTCAAGCAACGTTCTGGAGCCATTGTAGGCCACGGTTTAACAGTCCGTCTACTCCATACCAGCCTACTCCCTTAATTCACTGCAATTCGATCACTGCAGGCATTAGCACCATGTCAAATAAACCTATTGCTGTATTGTTTCAAGCAAGACCAAAAATCAAAGCACAACTGCTTGTGCAGTGTGGGCTTAAGGGCTGATCTCAGCGACACTGGTGTGAACTTGGAGTAACTCGGAGGAAGTCAGTGAAGCTATTCCAGATTTACACCAGTGTAGGATTTGGTCTGTGATCTGTAGGCACCAAGTTTCTAGGTCAGTCTCCCAGCTCCAGGCACACACAATATAAAAGCTCTCCAAATGTGCTGTCACGAGGCTAAGATATGTTCAACAGTCATATTTCAAAGCTAACGACCCTGTTAAATTCCCAGTGAAACTCGGAACGGGAAGACTCCCCGCTTATGTCAAGTGGGCCCTAAGACGGTCGACACAGTCAGGTTTAAGAAGCGTGGTGCTCCACTGTTTTCCAGTCACAGAGCCCAGGCTCCCCCGCTCCACAAGAAGTCCTAAAGAAAGTGCGAAAAATCAGTCTTCATAGAGGGACATAGCAGCACCCAGGGCTAGGCAACATACCAGAGCCTCACAGCTCACGCCTCATCAGCAACGCAGAAGACTGCATCTCTCTTACTCTTTAATGGGTGGGGTGGACTGAAGAGACAACCACTCCCAGCATGCCATGCTGCATCTTGATCAGAACGGCTAAGGCCCACCAGCTGCAGGAGGACTGGGGGAGGCGGTGGAAGAAATGAGGCCAGGAATTGGATCCCACTTCTGGAAAGGGGAAAGACTCTGGCTTGGCACTGAGTTTGTCCCAACCCTCTCACTGATGGGGGAGTGGGGTGGGAGATCAGGATGTGGGGTGCCCCCTCTCCTGGCCCCATTACTGGAGTGAGGAGATAAGAGTGGGGTGGGGAACGTGGCTCTAAAGAGCAGGTGAACACAGCTGGTGGGTGACCTTCCTCCCACTCCAGCCTCACTGCTCATGGGGAGAAGATCAGATGTGGAGGGCGAGCGTCCTCTCAGTTTGGTCCCCAGGCAGCCCAGAGTCGGCGCCGTACCCTGCAGGCCCCAAGCAATTATATCGAGCTCGAAGCCACTCCTTCATCCAGCCACCAGGACAGAGCGGAAAGGCAAACCACAATGTCACTGACCTTGGAGATGGCTGCCGGGGGGAGGACAATGCCGCCTGCCTCCTAGAAGGCTGAGATTTTTCCAAGTGGCTCAGTCTCTATTGCAGGGCAGGTCCTGCCCTCGCGGGGGAACGGACTCCCTCATCGACTGGCATGTGCCCATCTCCGACTATGGTACTAGGCAGCCTGAACTCTCGTCTGGATCCTTCACCATCCCCCCTGAGAGCGCCACGCTGCTCTGATAGGGTTTGATCTGAGAGGTGCTGAGCACCCGCAACGCCCACTGACTCCGAGAGGCGCTGGGCACCGCTCCGACCCAGGCAGACAGGCCCTTGGGAAGCTTACGCTAGTGGGTCTAGAAGGAGCTGCCAGCTCCACGCAGACTCAGCCTCCAGAGCCTGGCTGATGGTCACGTGATACCCCAGGGCCCAGCCCTGCAGCCTTTGCACCCCTGGGAGGTCAGTGGGCTAATACACACAAGGGAAGGCTGAGGATGGATCCCTCCGACCACCCCCCTGCAGACTGTTTCTCCCTTCGCGCTCCAGGGCTGGGCTTGGCAATGGGGCCGGACCCCGCTTCCTGGTCCCTTGGAGGAGAACCGGGGCCCAGGTTTTTAGAGGTATTTAGCCGTTGCTGCGCTCAGCATTCCAATGCCTAGCTGATTCAGGAGCCTACATCTCCTTTTTAAAGGTGATTTAGGCACTTAAGAGCCAAAAATCGCACTGACAGTCAATAGGAGTCTGGCTACGAAGCGCCTAACTCCCTTCTGACAACAAGCTTCAGCGCTGAGCAGAGCAATGCCTACAGGCTGGTATAACTCTGAGCCCAGGGGTCTAGCCCCCTGCGGCAGGCTGGGTAAGGATTTCCCTTGGTGCCCGTGCAGGAGCCCATCACAGGCCAGTACCACTGAGCCCGATGCCCCAGGAGGGCAGACAGACCTCCCCGTGGTCAAACCACCACAACAAAATTACTATGCCAACCCGTGAGGGCAGCAGGGGTAAGGAGTGTGAGGCTCCATCAGCTGACCGTATCACCCCCAGAGCTACTTAACCCTTCACCCTCTGGCACTAAGATTTGTGTGTAGATGACTCAAAATACTCAGCCCTGTACAGACATTGAGCAGCTAATCCTCCCCCGCAAGCTAGGAAAGTCTGATCATCCCCCCCCCCCCCCCACAATTTTAAACCTGAGAGACAGCAAGAGTAAGTGACTTGCTCACACCACAAGTCAGCAATAGAGCAGGGACTAGAACCCAGGAGTCCTGGCTCTCAGTCTCGTGCCGAGTCCATGAGACCACAACCTCTTTGCACAGCCACTGTCTCCACCAGGTTAAACCTCTGTTCTCCCCCCTCCACAGCCCCGAGGAAATCACATGCCCAAATCCCCCCGGACTCCGCTCTCCAAGTTCTCAGATCACTTAGATATTGACACCGGAGGAAGCCCCAACGTAGCTGGTTGTTTGCCCAGCGTCAGGAACAAGGGTAGCGTTAAGGTTTGTGCGCTGTGCTCAGACGAGCCGGGGACTTTCCCTGCATGCATCGTCTCCCCTCCCCCCCAGCGTATTGCTCTGTGTGCAGGATCAGATACAAACAAGACCAAGGCGATGTCTGTGTGGGCGGATATCTGAGTGGTTGGGACAAGTGGAGCCATTACCTAGAGAGAGGGGACCCCGGGACCACAGACACACTCCCCCAGAAGGATGCTGAGGAGCAGGGAAGATCCCTGCTTCCTCCACTGCCCAACCTAGCCAAACCTTAACATGCTCTCTCCCTGCCGCCGCGCCAGCCCTGGCCGACACAGGCACAGTCCCTCCCCGCGGTCCCGTCTCCGGTACAAAGCCGAACCCCATCCCCAGGCCCAGGATCAAACGTCCGTCATCTCATCCTCTAGCTCCGCGTCGTCCGTCTCTCCTTCGCCCTCCAGCTCCTCCTCCTCCTCCGAAGTCAGGTTGGCGTCGTCGGCTTGAGCCAGGCACTTGGGGCAGGAGCAGGTGAACAGGTAGTGTTCCCTGAGGGGAGCAGGGGAGAGAGAGAACCACGTCAAGGGAGTTTGCAGAACTACGGTGCCAGGCTGGAGAGCCAGCCATTCGGGGGTTAACTCCTCATTCATCCCTCCCTCTGAGCAGGGAGAGCTCCCCATGCAGCTGCTGGAGGGCAGAGGTGTAGCCTGAGCCGTGAGTTATGCTGGACTAGAAGCCACTGGTCTCTATCGTTCTACCCTGAACACACACGATAGCTACATAAGAACGGCCAGACTGGGTCAGACCAAAGATCCATCTAGCCCAGTCTCCTGTCTTCCGACAGTGGCCAATGCCACTGAGTGCTGCAGACTGAGGCCAGACGAAGCCATTACATCCAAGAACAGAGCAAGATGTGTGTGGTGGGGGGAGGGGGGTGTGTGTCCCCTGATCCCTGAAAATAAATTGACAATATTCTGCAGAACCACCTCGCTCTGCCCACGCCTTGGCAACCCTTCCCACACCGCTGCTTCTACCCCGATCTGTCCCCGGGGCCCCCAGCCAGCAGAGTCCGAGCGGCGCGGGCGGCTAGCCCTACCTGAGTATCTTGTGGCGGCTGTGTCTGCTCCGCTCCCGCTGGCAGCAGTCTAAATAGCTAATGCAGATTTCCTGCCGAGACAAGAGAAACAGGCCCGGCTGAGAGTCAGTTCCACCGCCGGGCTCTCCTGCCCCTGGAGGGGATGCTTTCCAGGAACAGAGGGGAAAGTGCAGCAAATCACTGCCGGAGAGCAGAGGGAACTGGCGGGGCTAAAGCAGAACACAGCATTCAGCAGGGCTAACTTCCAGGGCAGGTAGAAATCAGAATCCAGCCCTATGGAGAGGCTGACCCAGCAGAGCGGTCGGCCGACCTTTCCACAGCTGGGAGGCCCGGCCAGCGCTCAAGGGGCTGCCGTGCGGTGACACCAGGCAGCACAGGGGACGTGGAGAGCCAGAGAGAAATACAGGGTCCATGTGTGTCCTGCAGCCTCAGTGAGCGATTGTCTCCTTTATTGTCCTCACAGCCCAGTCCCACGCCTTCCTCCAGCTGAGCGACGCTGCAGGCCGGGGCTGCGAAGGCCAGATTCGAACTGCCCCGACGTTCGGGGGCTCAACGTTCAGGCCCGTCCCTAGTGCGGACAGCAGAGATCGCCTGGGACTCCCTGATCGCTCACAAAATCATCAGGGTCCACAGCGGCTCGAAAACCTAGCTGGGCTGAACCGCAGCTCATGACCCTTGTCCTTGCCTCAGCGAAGGGCCACAGGGGGTTAATGGTCTTTTAGCGAAGACCCTGGACTGGGACTTCAATCCATGGCTCTGCCACAGACTTCCTGTCTGACCCTGGGCCAGTCACTTCATCGCTCAGTGCCTCAGTTTCCCCATCCATACAATAGGGATGTTACCTGCCACGGGGGTTGGGAGGTGCTTGGATACTATAGTAATGGGGGGGCCATGTAAGCACATAGACAGAACCCTACTGGTCTTACTCAGGCTGGACAGCCACTGCCTTCAGGAGGAGTTTGGCCTGAGGGAGGGCTACAGGCTTCGGCCCTCCCCAAAGAAACCAACCATTCTCTTCCCTGCAGGCTCACCTCGCCCGGCTTGATCTCCTCCAGGGCGATGAGGTGCAGGAGGAAGTTGTTATCCGGGAAGGACGTCTCAGCGTTGGGGATGCAGCTGTGGTTACCTGCAGCAGGGAAGAGATGGGCACCAAAGCCAGTGAGTGACACACAGCAGGTGTCGCCAGAGGCAGCAGTGCCAGTTCCCCAGGCAGACCCCCAGCAGGCCTCAGGCCTGGCCTGGCTGACGAACGAGAGGGTTAGTTCAAACCCCTCGGCCGCCTGCTGAGACTGCCCGTAATGGTGCCAAATCCTGGCAGCTGAGCAGGGGAGGACACTCGACGGAGACCCACCCATTCATTGCACTGCGCCGCAGAACAGCCAGCAGATGGGAAGGGCTTTAATCACTCCTGCCCCGGACTCAACGCGGTGAGCTGGAGGTGAAAGGCCTGGGATGCTGTTAGCGTTTCTCTGAACCAACTAGTCTCCCCACTGGTCATTTAATAAGGCGAGAAGAGAGGGAGGAAAATATTCCTGTTGTTGATCCTGCTCCCTTCTCCGTGTAAGCCTGCCTGTTATATAGCTTTCCCCACCACCCTGGCGGAGATACACCCTGCCGCACCCAGATGGCTGCACTCCCGTCTCGTTAATAAACCAGTCTCGGATTGCCGTTTCTTTAATCACAGGAGGCAGCTAAGACTGGAGACGGTTTCCTCACCAAGGTGTTTTTACCCACTGCATGCAAAAAATGCTCTCTGGGGCATGAGTCACATGGTATTTGTCTAGAACGTGCCTGGCGCACTTTGGGCTCTGCAGGAATAAGAATGCATTGGAGGTTACCTTGGCACTAGACTGCTGACCCTGGTTTGTTACGGGAGGGTTGCTCACGTGAGCTGAGCTGCTGGCATTTATTTGCTTGTTTGAAAAGCTCTGGCGTGTTAATTTTTGAGCGTGGATTTTGCAAACGGACGCAAGGGAACGAGAAGGCGGGCCAGGCTGTGACCCGCGTCTCTCGAAACCTTTGGACAGTTGGAACGGTTTAGCCATAGAGGGAGGGGCCGGGCAATCAGCATCGTCCTGGTACTTACAGCAGCTCTGGAGCACGTACAGGCCGGATCCCTCGCAGTTCAAGAACTCTCCAGTCTCTGAAGCAGAAAGGGACGATTACAGCCTCGGACAGCTTCCCCAGCCAAACCCTGCTCCTCAAACCAGAAGAGTCAGCGCGTGGGGAAACAGCAGGGCGGGCAAATTCGGCCAAGGCAGAGCCTTTTACCAGTTCACCTGGGCCAGTCACACCAATCCACTTCAGCCTCCCAGAGAGCTTGGGGACTGGACAGCGGGGGGGGGTTGGTATTTAAAGGGGCCAGACCCCCTATTTCACCCCCCAGATAGCTGTGGGAGGAACCGAAGGCACCAAGACATTCAATTACTGAACTGCACCCACAAATCAAGCAGACAGCTACTGGTCCACATCTGCGCCCATCACACTGCACCTGCAGCCACTGGCGGGCGCAAAACAGGGAGCTGAGTTTTAAAAACTGGCAGCCATCACCTGGGGACGCACCCATCTTCCTCCACCAGACCCAGGAGCTGCTCCCTGCGGCTCGTCTCAGCCACACTTCCCAGGATCTGGGAGCCAGATCCCCTGGCTGCTGAGACTGTCGAGGGTCTGGTGAATCCAGAAAAATGGCAGCAAACCAGTCCTGGCCCTGACGTTGAGTGGGAAGGAGGGGCCTTGTCCCTGAGTGGAGTTCTCTCACAGTGCATCTACCCTGCAGCCAGGAGTGCCAGTGGCAGCTCAGGGACCCTGACCAGGGCCTTCAGACAGCACCGGTCAATGCAGCCTACAAAGTCAGCCAACTGCGATGGCCGCTGAGTCCCAGGCCCAGCCCCGCCTGGCCTGGAGAAGACAACGGCCCAGAGAACCGCGCCAACAGCCGCCCGGGAACCACGCTGACGCTTTCTGTCATTGTTACCTTTCTCGATATCCTTATAGAGTTGGTCTATGAAGGCATCTAGCTGCTCTCGTTCGTGCGGGGGAAGCTCTAACGCATCGCAGGCATGGACCCACTGGCTCAGGGAACTAGCGGAAACCAGACAGAACACGGTTATGTTTCCAACTGTCTCTGGATCTGGCCGGGCAGGCAAGAGAGCCACCTGTACCCCAGTGCTAGGGAGAGCTGTGATCACACCCCGCGAGCCGGCGCGGGTGCTCATAGCACCAGCTCTCGTTCTTCAGCGCAGAACGCTCAGGAGGGAGGAGGGACTCTCTGCGGCTCCCAGGGTTGAAGTGTCCAATGGCCCCAAGAGGCAAAGTTCTGATGCAGGACCAGACCTGAATTTTGGGAGGCTTTGGACTGGGGAAGTCCTGTCATAGTTTACAGAAAAGCAGTAAAACACCGCTTTTACAGAACCTCAGCAACACGTACAAGGTTTTTTCTCTGCTCTCGCTCTAGGTACTTAAGTGGCTCCCATCAGCTGGGCTGAGGGATGTGCATGGATGACTCCTTCAGACAGCACGGGGAATCCATGCAAGCGCTGAGGGGAGCCCAGAGACCCAGAGAGCTTTGGGACTCTCATGACTTCCATGCCGATTTCTCAACAGTTCCCCACACACAGCCACAGCGCAATGGCGAATCCACTGGTTACCTTGTTCCTATGCCTTGGCCATTGGTCCCAACCAGGGCAAACAGCGATCGGAACCCTTCTGGAGTAAACCACTGCAGAAAGACCAAGAAGCGAGAGGATCAGTTTACCTGTCAGGACTGTACCATCTCAGCAGCTCCCATTTGCTCTAGCTCAGTTTTTCTCAACCTGTTTGATACCAGGGACCAGCCTGCTGCCTTCCTAAACAGCGTCAGGGAGATCTCAGGGATTGGCACCGGCCCACGGACCAGTCGTTGAGAAACACTGCTCTAGCTCGCAGCCTTACTTGTCGGACCCACTGCAGAATCCCGTGATGGGCCGTGGGGCTGGAGCTGCCATAGAACGGGCACTAATGCTATTACAACCAGCAGTGAACCGACCCTCAACTCTGCCCTGACAGTTTTAGCATCCTGTAATAACAAATCCTGGACCCAATGTCTCGTTAGAGAGAACTGGATGGAGGACGTGAGGCACAGAGCTTAATGGCCTGATTTTCATCAGCGCTTAGCATCCACTGTCTTCAGTGGGAGATCAGCACCTTTGACAATCTGACCCGTCAAGTAAGAGGGCTCCATCCTCTAGGAGAATCCAGGGTCATCAGGGCTTCCCTCAGACTCAGCCTAGGTTCTCCCTCCCTCGGCTTCACCCCATTACTCCTCGTGGTGCCGCTGTCCTGTCCCAAACAATTCCTCCCCCTAGTTGGCATTTACAATCTTCTGAGATGGTTCTGGCCCCACCCAGTTCTTAGGGACTCCTCCCAGCTCCCCGTCAGCCTCGTCTCTCCTTTCTGCTGCTCAACGGTGGATTCCAGGTACAGTCACTCCAGAGCCATAGAGCGCAGGAGAGGGCACAAGCCTGTTCCATTGTATTTCTTTCCCCCGGGCACGACCCCTGTAAGGCAGCAGCAAGGGGAAATGCTGAACAGCTGTATGAATTCGAGTGTCGTATGTAAGACACGGGAGGTAATATCCCACTCTACTGGGCACCGGTGAGACCTCAGCGGGAGTGCTGGGTCCCATCCAGGGCGCCACACTTGGGAAAGATGTGGACAAATTGGAGGGAGTCCAGAGGAAAGCAACAAAAATGAGAAAAGGTTTAGAAAACCTGACCCACGGGGAAGGTTAAAAACCCTGGACATGGTTAGTCTTGAGAAAAGAATTCTGAGGGGGGAACCGATAACAGGCTGTTACAAAGAGGACGGGGATCAATTACTTTCTGAGTCCACTGAAGGGAGGACAAGACGTATTGGGCTTAATCTGCAGCAAGGGAGATTGAGGTTGGTGATGAGGAAAAACTTTCTAACTCTCAGGGGAGTTGAGCACTTGGAACAGGCGTCCAAGGGAGGCTGTGGAATCCCTGTCACTGGAGGTTCTGAAGAACAAGTTGGACAAACACCCGTCAGGGATGGTCTAGAGAGGATCACGTGGTCCTGCCTCAGCGAGGGGGCTGGACTAGGTGACCTCTCAAGGTCCCTTCCAGCCCCACCTTTCTGTGATTCTTGTTATCCCCTCAGCCCGTCTGAGCTCAGAGCACTGAGGGGGTTAAATGATCAGGTGAAGGAGAAAGAGGTTGTCCCTCATATCCCACCTCAGCCCCGCTAGGGTGAGGGTGAGGCACCAATAGGCTCCAGGGCAAATCTTAGCCCCTCGGTGCTGTCGGGAGGAACGGCAACCAGGACACCCTATGGAGAAACGGAGTCTCCTCAGCGCTCTCTCTGGGGTGCACAGGACTCTGCCGAGGGGGGGGGGGAGGGGAGGAAAGGGGGTGACAAGGACTCACCACTCACCCTGCTGAGATGTTCTTCGTAAAGGGCTTCCGTGAAGAGCCGCCGGAGGAGCTCTAGCTGGCCCTGGAGAAACAAGGCCACAACGTCAGCGAGGAGAGGAGCCTCAAGGCAGGCGGGGCAGCCTTAAATCCAGCCGACAAGCAGAGACTGGAGCAGGCCTGAAGGTTCTTTGTGCCACCACCGCTCGTCAGAAAGCTGCTGTTCTGAATTGCCCCCAACCTGGCAGCCATCAAAAACCACCGCCACCCATGGCTGCGCACCCACAACCAAAGCATTGGTGTCTGGCCACTCCCTATTGGGGAAGCAACCTCAGCATGGAAACCACTGGCATTAACTACTCCTTTCTCAGCGGATAGGCCACAGCTTGGTCTGTCTACCACGGAACCAGGGCAATACACTGGCTTAATGGCCATGGCTCCCTCTAGTGGCTGGTCCAACAGCCTGCCGTTTACTGAGCATGAGAGGAGACCTCCTTTAGCTCAAGTGGAGGAGGCCCGTGCTTTGGACGCTGACAGTTCTGGTTCTGGTCACTGCTGGGGACCGTGGTGTCTCTCTCTCTCTGTGACCAAGGGTTTGTACACAAGTGAGGCCTTCAGAGGGAAAGGAGAGGAACTCAGGGATCGCCGCAAACGACCCTGCCTCCCCGCAAAGACCCAAGCACTCCAGTGGCGTGACACACTGACCTTAAATTTGTCCCCCAGCAGCTTGTGGACGATCTCCTCTTCTTCGTTGGCCGTTTTGCTGCAGAACTGAGAGAAAAGCTTTATCCACCAGTCCTTGTCCTTCGCCTGAAACGTATCAAACAGCCGCTCAAACTGGCACTCCAGCAGGAGGGAAGTGGGAGGGGGCTACGCGAGATGGCAGGATACCCAGATCTGGATGCTATTTAGGCCAGACATTAGCACCGCTATAGCGATGTTTAACCCTTGGAATACGAGCGAGCCAGAGAAAGAAAAGGGGAGGAAAGCTAGTTTTGTGTTTAACGCACAGGGTGGGGACTCAGGAGATCGGGGTTCAATTCCCTGTTCTGCCACAGACACCCTCTGTGACTTTGGGCAAGTCACTCAGTGCCTCAGTTTCCCAATCTGTGACATAAGGATAATACTTCTCTACTGGAGATGGGAGCTGTGAGGATATACAGGTGAGACACTCAGACACACAGCAGTGGGGCCCATGTGGGGAGCTATACAGAGAGGGCAGGAGAAGCCGAGGAGAGTACGCCATGGGGGGGGGGTGTATTAATGCGATGGGCACAGCCCAGTTCCACGGTGATAGGCAAACTCAGGTCTCCCTTTGCTAAGGTGGAGGGGAAGCCATGGATGTGTGACAACAGCTTTGACTCCCGGTAATCTGATGGGATGAGGGACGTCAAAACCCCAAACTCCACTGCAGGAAATGCACAGTTAAGGGGCTGCTTCATACACAGCCACAACCCTCTTTATAAAGAGCTGTCCCAGGCTTGTGGGAAGACCCAGGGAATAGGAGCAGATCACTCATCATGCAGATGACAGATGCCTTCTCAAGACACGCTAACCCAGATGTTAGCCCATAAAGATCACCTCCCACGGCACAGCTACACCACACGGGTGGGTGTGCATATTTATTCCGCCCTTATCACCATGGTATCCAAGGCCCTTATAGAATCTGTGCTAACAGCAGCCTCCGATTTCCCACAGCAACAGGCATCTTCACAATGAAGTGCCCAGCACAAGCCCTGAGACAGAAGGAGCTGGAGCAGTGTCATGCTGTCAGGACGGTGACGCAGAGGCCCAGGCTGTGGTGGGACGTCCTGGCTGGTGTGTCCATGTCCCACTGCCGGGTGGAATCTGACCTGCCTGACGCATCTGTGGTTGGTTCACCCTCTAGTGACCGGAGGCCTCCAAAGAGCTTAGATGCTCTAGAGCAGTGGTTCCCAAACTTTAACCACCTGTGAACCCCTTTCACTAAAATGTCAAGTTTCACGAACCCCCTCCTAAAAATGAATATTTCCAGGGATTTTCTCCTTTACCTGAGTATAAATTATAAAAGCAGAGATCTTGGAAATACACAATTTGTTTTTCTGGCATGCTTATTACACACTATTTATTATTAATTATTATTTATCATTCCCGTATTTTGATTACATTATGAAAACGGCAACACTCTTCCAAGATCTCACTTTCGTAGCTTGTATCACTTTGACTAAGCCTGTTATAAGACAAGGCTCCTATGTTTCATCAAGGAGTCTCAGATGTGAAACAGCATGAAGGTATTTAAGAAGCCAGCTCAAAGAGTTTCTCCTACACAAGCATTCAGGTCTTGAGCAGTCCACGCAAACAACACACATTACAACAAAGCTTAAACTTGTTCTTCATAATCATTTTAAAAACAAGACTAGCTGCCTATTTAATTTTAAAAACAGCAGAAAATATCCACCTCCCTTTCCATGTCTTATAAGGAGTCTTGAAGTTTAAATCTCCTCAGTGCGATAGATAAGATCTGTTTAGCTCTTGGAAGTCCAGGGGCTCTGGGTTGCTGGCCCCGTGCTGCCCGGGGCCCCTAGGGACAGCTCTGTCCACCATTAGGGAATTTTTTCCTGAGAACCCCCTGTAACATTTCACGAACCCCCAATGGTTCACAAACCCCAGTTTGGGAACCACTGCTCTAGAGCTAATGACAGTGGAAGGAGGGGCTGCTTCTGGGGCAGGTGGTCATGAGGTCCTTCTCTGCTGCGTGCTGTCTCAGCAACGCATGATCCCTAGTGCTGGTAAGTGCATGCAGTGCAGCGAGACATCCCCAGCCCCGCACGCTGATGTGCCGGGAGGTTAACTTACAGCATGTCTACGCTGCAAAGTGGAGGTGTGGTTGTAGCATACCCAGGCTAGCTTTAACCTTAGCAGTGAGGATGTAGGGAAGACATGTCAACATGGGATCCAGCAGGGGGCCCCCCCCAAATGAAATTAATAGGCAGCAGGTTTAAAACAAACAAAGGGAAGTATTTCTTCACACAAGGCACAGTCAACCTGTGGAACTCCTTGCCAGAGGATGTTGTGAAGGCCAAGACTATAACAGGGTTCAAAAAAAGAGCTAGATAAGTTCGTGGAGGATGGGTCCATCAATGGCTATTAGCCAGGATGGGCAGGGATGGTGTCCCTAGCCTCTGTTTGCCAGAAGCTGGGAATGGGCGACAGGGGCTAGATCACTTGATGATTACCTGTTCTGTTCATTCCCTCTGGGGCACCTGGCATTGGCCACTGTCAGAAGACAGGTCTAGATGAACCTTTGGTCTGACCCAGTATGGCTGTTCTTATGAGCTAACAACCAAGTAAAAGCCTGCCCAGGACCCTGGATATGTCCTCGGGTTGACAACCTGTGCCACCAGGTTGTCGCTACTGCTGTGAGCCCTGCTAGCTAGACTAAAGCGAGCATGGGCACGCCTACTGGCGCTACAATCATCCCTTCACTTTGCAACGCAGACGTACCCCTCGAGAGGGGAGGGCAGACACCAGGGAGCAACGCGAAGGAAGTGCTGAGACGTACCTAGCACCGTGAGCAGCAAACAGAGGCACGCACCTGTTTGACGGTGGCTACCATCCTCGCCAGCAGCATGATGCTGGAAGTCTCCGGTGGGTAATGGATGTTTCTGTCCAAGGGGAAGGAATAATATAGAGAGAGTGAGAAGAGCAGAGATGTCCTGGCACTGAAAGGTCCTGGCCCTGAAAGGGCCAGCAGGGTGTTTGCGCCTCGAAGGGAGACAAGGACCAGAATCCCACACACAGCCTCGTTCAGACGCAGACATCGGACTGACACAAACAGCCCAGGAGCTCCCTAGGGGAAGTGGAAATTAACTAAGTTCTAAAAGGCTCAGCAGGGGTATTTATGGAGGTCTGGTTATAGAGCTGGCCAAAGGGGCAACTTCCTGCCCTGCCTTTGGACTCTAGCAGGGGACCGTCCAGGTCTGGTCTACCGCTCATTTCTCTGCTTGTTGACAGTGAAACAGCTAAAGGCAGCAAGGCCTAGGGGTTCCAGCACTCGAGAGACTCCACTCTGTCATGTGACCTTCAGTAAGTCAGTTCCCCGCCTTCCCCTCCCACCCGTTGTCTATTCAGATTGTAAATTCTTTGGGGCAGGGACTAGAGTTACTCTGTGTATGTACAGCACCCAGCACAATGCGATTACAGCTCTGATAGGGGTCTCTGGGTGCTACTATAATACAAGTAACTGAAGAGCCAACTAAAAATGTACGTGTTAAACCTAGTGAGTTGTTGTCTAATGTTTAAGCAGAGGGCCGGAGTCAGGAGAACTGGGCTCTGTTACCACCTTGATCACGTCCCTTCTCCGTGCCTCAGTTTCCTCATCTGCAAGCGGGGATAATAATTTCTCTCTCTCAG